CGATGCGTCTGCGGGGCTTCTCGCTGAAGCCACCAGCCTAATTTTTGTAAGAGCAAAGGTCCCGAGTCTTTGCTGTGCTGCGGTGGGTGTACCTGAGCGCATATGTAACCCAAGACTCGTTTCCACCTTCCAGGAAGATTCAGGTATTTAAAAGAGTGTTCCTCAAAAAGCGATGCTGAATGCACGTGCAAGGAGGGGTATCGTTGCAGCGGCAACGGCTGCTCACGCTGCGACCGAAGCTGCGGTGTGGGCGAGGAGAACACCGGGAGCGGTAAGGTCGCCTGTCCCCGCAAGCTTAAACCCCCTGTGCTCACTGCACCGTACGCACCGCTGCCTCTTGCACAGCGCGGAAACAACTAGAGTAAGGACCTCGCAAGATAAAAGCTGCCACTGCTGCTAAACAGTTTGCATGGTGCGTGGAGCGTGCACAGCAGCAGACAAGCCCACCGAACTCAGCCCTGCTGCGGCTCAAGTCGTGCACCAGTTAGTTCCCTTTGCACAACAGCTCTCTTGTTGCCAGCATGTGGGAAATTGAGCTGGGAACTCTGGAGTTAGACATGATTTGTGGCATTTTGTGCCAAATAAACTGGCGCTGTAGCCAAGTACTGTACTGGTCCAGTACTGGTACTGTACTCACAGGGAAAGACTTGCCTTGCACACTCAGAGCAGCTTATGAAGTAGTAATTCTATGAATGTGGATCATAGTCATTGTACAAGCAGGCAAAAAAAATGTTTCACATGTTGTTTTAAATGCTCATTTTGCACAAATTTACCTGTCCTTTGTCTGTTGAAGGTTGCCAAAGTTGCCGCTATGGAACTTTTAATGATCAGCTCAACGGCTCCTGTAAAAACTGGACAAAGTAAGTAATCTAAAAATAAACGCTCCAGCTATTACACTTGACTGGATTTTTTTCCATGATTTTTTTTTTTTCTGTTTTGCTTTAAATGTCTTTCAGGTGCTCTGCAAACCAGGTCCTGGAGCCTGGAACTGCAGCAAAAGATGTCATTTGCAAACTCGCTTCAGATAATCCCACTTTAGTCACTACTCTACCTACCATGTCTCCTGCAATTCCATTTTCTATCACTGTGCCAGGTGAGTCATTGTATGATATTGCTTATAGAGCTAAAGAATTATGACCTACTGTGAAACATACTATAGCTCATTCACTTACCCTTTAAAGCAAGAGTCCTTTCTTCTATCCATTTCCAGTGTTGCAGACTTATCCAGAAGCAGAGTTGGAGACAAAGTTGTCAGCTAATTCAAGGGCAGTAGAATTTTGCTCTTTAACACTTCTTAGAGAATGTTGTTTGCTTCCTAGGGAAGGACCTCCAGATGGACATTATCAGAATTTCTCTTACTGTAGCTGGGCTGTTGTGCATAGTGTTTCTGCTACCTTCGTGCGTGTGCTTCAGTATCTGGCAGAAAAAGAAACTACATGCTGTCTTCAAGAAAAGTAAGATAGATACACTCTTCAATTCAAATTATCTTTTTGAAACTAGACAGAAATCAAGAATCCAGGTTTTTAAGTATCTTTCACAGAGAGTTGCAGATAGCTTCATTTTTTGGCCTTGTAAGTCAGAAACAACAACTGAAAGGAAAACAGTTTTGGAATTTTTATTGCAGAAAGCACTTAATTACCTGTGGGTGTTCTAGCAACATTGCAGGTTAACTGCATGCATATTCATAGAAGTGAAGTATTCATGGGGAGGTGAAAAAGCTCAGCTGAGCCTTGCTGATCCCATTAAGGGTCAGTTCTGTTTATTACTTCCAAGTACCATCCTTGGCATGCATGGCAATAGCACTTTCCAGTTCTGTCTGCTCAGAAACAGTATGCATGGCCTGGAGTGAGCATCTTCGCACTTTGGCTGCAGTAAAAGAGGGGATATCAGTCAGGATGTACTGCTACACAGATGCAGAGTCAGCCTGAATCCAGCACTGCCCTCTGAGAGCTAGTAAGCCCTGGGGAAGCTCAAGAGTTCAGCACAAAGATGAGGTGGAATTGCATCCACCATAGTTTACAGCCAGGATTTTTTGTTTGGGGTTGGTTTCCCCCCCACCCCCCCCCTCTTCTTCTCCCCTTTCCTAGCGATAAGGGCTTGATCTTCTAGTGTAGTTCTGAATACGGGAGACAATAGCATTAATCCAAAAATCTAACAACTCCATGTTGGTCTTCCTTTCATTCCTATAGCAAACAGTTGCATTAGGAAGAACAAAGTGTAATAAATGAGTTTTATCAGATGTACATGCTGTAGAGGAATAATTTCAGATTATTGAATCATCTGGAAGAATTTTTCTTGCTGACTTCCTGCAGTTGTGACTGAGGAAGGGTGATAAGAGATGGCTGAATAAATACAACAGAAAGTGAACATTTAATCTTTTTCTTTAGTGCATACCACACCTGAACAGTCAATTCAGGAAGATGATGCCTGCAGCTGCCGCTTTCCTGAGGAAGAACAAGGTGAATATCAGGACTGTGGCAAATCCACAGAATTCAGAGATCTTTTGGTGAACTAGGAATTGGACTGTACAGGTCAACCACATTTGAATTTCCTTTTGGAACACAGAACAAGAACCTGGTTACATAAATAGAGAGGGTATCAGAATCTGTGAATTTCAGAGTGCTAAATAGCCTAGCCACTGAGGAAAAAGTGCATCTTTTCCATCTCGTAAAAAAAATAAAAATAAATAAATAAAAAGATCTAGTTTGCTGACTTTCTTCCTCTAGGACTAGGAATCTTATTTCTAAGAAGTGGTACTTGATCTACATATAGAAAGAAGTACTGCACTTAAAAGCAGTAATAGAAGGGCAGAATGGCTTTCTGGTCCCTCTTATAAATGGTGCCTGAGCCATAGTTTACATGCAGTTTGAAAGCATTTGACGCTGAAAAGGACATAATAGACGCTGTAGCACATAATAGAGCCACATGCGACATTCATGGTCTCTATTACCATTACCAGGCATCCTCTTGAGTCTGGAACTGCAGCTCCTCCTAAAGCGTGGCTCAAACCCAACAGTCTTGGGTTTTGTGTGCAAATATCGATAGACCTCATTTCAGATCCCGTCAGCCCTAGAAACAGACACGCGGCCTGACCACTGCACACCTTCTTACATGTAGGAGGGAGGAAGCCATAAAAATCTAGAGCTGCAAAGTGTTTCGTAATAGCTTGCATCTGCTGTTGTATTACACCGATTGGCTTAAGAAAGACAGTGGAAACACTGAGAAAAGCTGTGGTTGACTTGATCTTAGAAATAGATGTTACTGTGCAGCTGGACTGCACCACCTTCAGTCCCACATCATTCAACTTTGATCTTTTAGGTGATGTAAACATATTATGTACATTGCAGATGTGGTATATGTAGATGTGATACATTTCTGGTACTATTTTTGTAACTGAGGTTGGAAAGATTGTAACATTCAGACACTGTATCTGACTCTGATCAATTACTGTTACTTTGGTCTTGAAGAGAAAAAAGTAAACCCATGTTTGAGACATGGCATTTGCAATAATGTTTTTAACCTTTTACAAAACCAAGTATTTTATTTTATTTCTTCAGTAAATGTTATTAAAAAATAGAATGAAAACCCACCAATATGTCATATAAAGGGTGATTTTCTACTCTATGTGATTTCAACTTAGAGAATGTTATTCTTGTGTTTGAAGAATGACAGCCCATCTCTCCATTCAGCAGAAGATTACAATAGCAGATTATTTTCACCGAACCACACTTACACATTTTGATAAACTTCTATACAACTAAATATAAAACAGTATGTGAAAAAAGAAATGTCATACCAAAACCTGAACTGTGAGGTTAAGTATATTTAAATAAATCTCTTTTTATCCCTAGCCCAAGTCTCCTCTCCTCTCTTAGTACTTTCAACCATGAGAACTAAGTGACTGGTACGTGAGGTTCACAAACTTAAAAGACATGGACAGGACACATGAAAAGCCACCAATCTATTTATATATCAAAGAGCAACCTTTGCACCAGTGGACAATCTTAGAACAGGATAAAATAATTCTGCTTGTGACTAGTTTCTAATCCACACATAAGACATGAGAATTAACATACAGATCCTGTAAAAACTCAATACATCTAGTGTTTTCTCCTTGGAAAAAGAGATGCCAGTTGGAGTTTTACATTTTGTTAGTGCATTCTGCATATATTTTGAAATGTTCCAAAGACAGTGCAAAACCCTTATTTTCCTTTTCTGTGCCTGAAGCAGAAGTAAATCTACTTACTGAACAATGAGGTGCTCATTGCAACACTTTTTCCAGACAGTTTGATTTTGCTGTTTTATACTGAAGCTTCAGGAGTGGCATAAAATTCCCATGAATCAAAACAAAGCCTGTGGAGGAAAAAAAAAAATCCTAAGTGAGTGCAAACTGATTTCTGAGAATAAGGGACACATTTACACCAAAATTGGCTTTCTGGACTGTTTCAAGGGATAGTCATTCACAGAAAGAAAATACATTCTGAATAAAATGTCAGGAGCAATCTTCCTTTCAATCAAAGGATTATGTGAATAATTCTACCCATGACTTCTGTCATTTGAGAGTGTAGAAGCCTGAATTAATGATAAAACAGATTTTGTTGGCACAAGAGTCTGTTGTCAAACATATGCAGATATGCCTGTATTTCACAACAGCACACATCATCTGGCCACAGAAGCAGAGTAAGAGCTGGCTAAGTTTGTACTTCCCGTGAAATACTTCAATTACATCTACAAAGCAGATACGTTTATAAATAAGAACCTGGAAGCCCTGAAAGCAAAGACTGAAAGATAGGTTATTTTCAGAAGTGAAATAAATCGTGGTACAAATGCAATGGGAAGACTGGGGCACTTTACACTACAGACTGCGGTGCTTGCTTGCTACCAGAATGCCTTGGCAGCAGTGCTGCATTTTAGGTGGTCATCACAGAACTGAAAATAAATACAGGTGAATTAATCTGTTTTGCCGCTAAGCAGCAGAGCAGGACATTACAGTTCATAACAAAAGCAGCACTGTTAATACTAAGATAGTTGGAGTGTTTAGGAGTTTTCAGATTTAGACAATATTCAAGTTCTGTGAATTGTGGCTTTCTATAAAGAACTCAAATTATAGCCATAGAATCATGCACTTCCTTGAACATAAATTCCTTGTGTGTTGTGTAATTTGCACCTTCACAGTGATCACATAGAACAAATGTATTAGAAGCTTGTTCCCATTCTAGACCCCACATAAATAGATATTTTTATTTAAAAGTACTAAAGAACTCGCTTAAATCCTCCTTTTCATTATGCATGTAGCAGACACAGCTGTAAAACTTCTGGCAGTATGTTATGAAACTGCAATAGGCAGTACTTGTCAATTAAGTTTGTTCGGAAGTTTGCATCTGCAAAAAACCCACATATTTATAACTTCCTTTTTTTCCTTTTTAAATTATTCTTTTGTCTTCTGAAAAAATCCATGGTAGCTAATAAAACTTCAGTCAAAGCTAGATAATGTGCAGATCGGTAGTTGACATGTAGCTACTATACAAGTCACAGAAGCAGAAATGGTGCAGGCATCTGATCTAAGTCACTCAGGATGCCACACGCAGTTTTTTGAATGTTTTGTTCTCTCAAGCTTTTGTAAAAACATTGCACAGTAAGATTTAGGGATCATCAGTGACTAGCTTAAAAGAAATGTTGTCATCAGAATTCAGCTTCTACTAGCTTTCCTGAGCAGAATTTGTAGCTGAATTTGTCTGTTTCTTAACACAGAGGATGATAGCCTTTCTGCGTGCATGTTGAACACTCTAAAATCCTTCATCCAGCAAGGGTAAAGGGGAAGAAACTGCTCTATGTATCTTTGATTATTGGTAATTAAGGCAGAAAGAAGGAGTAAAGCCTGACTGTCTGTAATTCAGAACCAGGGCTGTGGAAAAAGAAGTATTTTTTGGTGATGAAAAATAATTGATAGATCATGTGCATCTTGGCTTCACAGGGAGCTTTTATTGAACATACAGATTCTTTAATAACCTGAAGAAACCTACCAGTTCACGTAGAAATAATGCAGGTCAGTCCTTCTAACTCATTGACCTCTAAGCGTTGTCTGCTTTCTGTGAATGTCTCTTTTCTCAACAGTCTTTTTAATTTATTATGTAGCAAGAAAAAGGAACAGGGAATGCCATGACGACTCTCAAGCAGCCCAGGTGGCCGAGGATGAGGTAACAGGCCAGATGCAAGCTTTTTGCATTGCCATTTGTTTTTCTTGGAAGTCAGACAGCATGCTCTTAGCCAGACTGTGTGCAGAGGCCCGGGTGATGTCAGGCAGAGTTCTGAAGGCATGGAAAAAGGAGACGAACCCTCTTTAAAGATAAGTTTAAGCAGGGGAGCCTGCTGCTTTTTTATTGCTTCCAGAACCAGCACCATTTCCTGGCACAGTAACTGGCATCAGTAATTAAAACGGTGTTTGTCGCATGTCTTGGCTTCATAATTTCTTGCAAGAATTGTGTGGCTAAGGAAAGCAAAAGGTTCATAGCAAAAGGTTTTCTGTCTCTCACCTCTCTCTCTCCTACAGGCACACTTGTGCGTTTCTGTGCCTGATACTTCTGGATGATAGAGACTCTGAAACTGTAATAGCTCCTCTCAAACATATAAACATCATATCATTTCTTAAAAGCAGAATATGATTTCCTATTTTCAGTCTTTCTACCAGATCCTTCATAGGAGAGAAGCATAGTCTTCTCTGACAGTCATTCTGATACTAATGCTAATCATGCGAAAATCTCTACAGGAGACAGTCCACTCTGAAGAGACTTAACACATAGGAGATAGATAGTATTAAACAGACAACTTGTACCACTCTGCTTGCATTTTAAACAGGTGATAAAAAGTCAAGGTAAGTTTCACTATTAAAATTAGATAAAGTCCTATTCTATCACCAAGTGCTACCTCAGTTCCTCCCTTGGCTACGAACAAGCCTTCCCTGACACAGTGCTTTCTTCAGAGGCTGTCAAAGGAGGTTCTCCATCCCACAGGTTTTGTGTTAGCTGTGCATCATGAACAGATGGCCGAGCGACCTTCTATCCCTGGAACTGGCACGAAAAACGCTGTTGGATACCGTCATTGCCCTCACTGTAAATAAGAACTTTTAATACCATCTACAAAGAAAATGGAAATTCCCTCTAACCTCAATTTGGCAAGAGTTTGTTATGATACCACCCTACTATGTTTCCTTTCACCTTCTAGATCCTGGGTGCCTGCCAGTTAAAGCAGCAGACTATTCCTGCAATACTCGGAAGCAAACTGGATTATATTTTAAGGAAAAACACACCAGCTGAACACCCACTGAAATCAGGGAAAATCTCTCCTGTTTGTCTAACCTGTTTGCATTGAGAAAATAAGAGAGGTTTTATTTGATTTAGCAGGTGCAAAACCCCATACAAAGACACCTACTTCAATTTAAGGATGACTTACCATGGTGTATCTTAATCCTGTTAAATCTACTCTCGGTTTACATAAATCCAAACTGAAACAAGCCATTTCAAAACTGAAATAAAATGCCTGAGTTACCCTTTTAAGTCAGTTTTAAACAAAATCTTAGGTTACATGAGCTCACTTTTCTCCTGTACACAGGCATTTCAGCAGGTTTAGAACAAA